TAGAATGAAGGCCTTGGGCCCACTGTAGGAGAGGAAATGGTTTGAGACCATCTTAAAAATCTGAACGTGCACAAGTCCATGGGTCCTGATGAAATCCATCCACGGGTCCTGAAGGAGCTGGCAAATGAAGTTGCTAAGCCGCTGGCCATCATATTTGAAAAATCATGGCAGTCAGGTGAAGTTCCTGACGACTGGAAAAAGGGAAATATAACCCCCATTTTCAAGAAGGGGAAAATGGATGACCCGGGGAATTACAGACCAGTCAGTCTCACCTCTGTGCCTGGCAAAATCTTGGAGCAGATTCTCCTGGAAGGCATGCTAAGGCACATGAAAAACAACAAGGTGCTTGGTGACAGCCAGCATGGCTTCACTAAGGGGAAATCCTGCCTGACCAATTTGGTAGCCTTCTATGATGGGGCTACAGAACTGATGGACAGCGGTAGAGCAGTTGATGTCATCTACCTGGATTTGTGTAAAGCGTTCGACACTGTCCCACACGACATTCTTGTCTCTAAATTGGAGAGACATCAATTTGATGAATGGACCACTCGGTGGATAAAGAACTGGCTGGAGGGCCGCACACAAAGAGTTGTGGTCAATGGCTCAATGTCCAGCTGGAGACCTGTAACGAGTGGTGTCCCTCAGGGATCGGTGTTGGGACCGGTCTTGTTTAACATCTTCGTTGCTGACATGGACAGTGGGATTGAGTGCGCCCTCAGCAAGTTTGCCGATGACACCAAGCTGTGTGGTTCGGTTGATATGCTGGAGGGAAGGAATGCCATCCAGAGGGACCTTGACACGCTTGTGAGGTGGGCTGATGCCAACCTCATGAAGTTTAACCATGACAAGTGCAAGGTCCTACACCTGGGTCAGAGCAATCTGAGGCACAGCTACAGGTTTGGCAAAGAAGAGATTCAGAGCAGCCCTGCGGAGAAGGACTTGGGGGTGCTGGTTGATGAGAAAATGAACATGAGCCAGCAGAGTGTGCTTGCAGCCCAGAAAGCCAACCGTATCCTGGGCTGCATCAAAAGGAGTGTGACCATCAGGTCGAAGGAGGTGATCCTGCCCCTTTACTTTGGTCTCGTGAGACCTCACTTGGAGTATTGTGTGCAGTTCTGGTGTCAACATAAAAAGGACATGGATCTGTTGGAACAAGTCCAGAGGAGGGCCACAAGAATGCTCAGGGGACTGGAGCACCTCCCATATGAAGACCGGCTGAGAAAGTTGGGGCTGTTCAGCCTGGAGAAGAGAAGGCTGCGTGGAGACCTCATAGCAGCCTTCCAGTATCTGAAGGGGGCTCATAGGGATGCTGGGTATGGACTCTTCATTAGGGACTGTAGTGATAGGACAAGGGGTAATGGATTAAAACTTAAACAGGGGAAGTTTAGATTGGATATAAGGAGGAAATTCTTTCCTGTTACGATGGTGAGGCACTGGAATAGGTTGCCCAAGGAGGTTGTGAATGCTCCATCCCTGGCAGTGTTCAAGGCCAGGTTGGACGAGGCCTTGGGTGACATGGTTTAAAGCGAGGTGTCCCTGCCCGTGGCATGGGGGTTGTAACTTGATGATCTTAAGGTCCTTTCCAACCCTAACCGTTCTATGATTCTATGGTAAACTATGCCATAACTACAACTTCAAAGGTAATAGAAGCTAAACCGTTACCCTCTAACATCTCAGCACAAAAGGCAGAAGTAATAGCCTTGTCTAGAGCCTTGGAGTTGGCAAAGGACAGGCAGATAAACATATGGACTCATTCCAAATATGCCTTTGGTGTAGTTCATGCACATAGAGTAATTTGTAAATAATGAGGACTTTTTAAATACCCATGGAAGACAAATTAAACATGCAGCAGAAATTCTATGATTGTTAGAAGCTCTACAATTACGCAATGAAGGGGCTATCGTACATCAAAGAGGTAACTCTGATCAAGAGATTGGAAATAATTTGGCTGATCGTGAGGCTGAACGGGCAGCAGAAACAGAAAGAGTTGAGGTGATGTCCTTAATTCATGATGGTAAACTGGTAATTGAGGAAAATAAACTTAGGTACTCTCAAGAAGATATGAAACTAATTGAAGACTTGGAAGGACAGGAAAATGAAAAGGGTTGGATAAAAATACCTGATGGACAAGTAGTGATCCCCTATAATCAATTATGGAAGTTGATACAAGAACATAACAAAATACACTGGGTAAGTAATGCCTTGTATAAACATTTAAACAAACAGATCATAGGAAGAAATTTCTGTACCATAGTGCAATTAGTGACAAAACAATGTCAACTATGTCTGAAAAATAACCGTAAGACTGAAAACAGGAATCAGGTAGGGACAATTGGAAAAGTGAATTATCTGAGACAACAGTGGCAAATAGATTTTTCTGAATTACCTAGAAAATGAGGTTATTGATATTTGTTGATATTAACAGACACTTTTTCAGGGTGGCCAGAATCATTCCCTTGTGGAATAAATAAAGCAAAACAAGGGATTAAAGTATTATTTAATGAGATAATAATCTCCTCTTTGGGTACCAGAGGCAATTTCTTCCGACCGAAGCTCGCACTTTAGTGCAAAATTGTTACAGGAAATTAGCAAAAATTAGAAATTGATTGGCAACTACATGTTCCATACAGGCCAGTAGGCAAGTAGAAAAAATGGTTCATCTGATCAAACAACACATTAGTAAAATATGTCAGGAAATGAATTTATATTGGTACCAAGGTTTACCACTGGCTTTTAAGAATTCGAACAAAACCTCAATCGAAATAAGAGGTTAGCCCACTTGAAATTTTGTATGGAAGACCATATCAGTCCCAGTTTAAAGGAGAAAGTCTTCAGGAAGTGGGGGAAGGCTATCTCTGACAGTTTCTGATCAATCTGGGAATATAATTGGAGGAGATGAATAAGAGAATAGCAGGGACAAGAGCAAGAGGTGTGGATTATCTGATTCACCCTTTCAGATCTGGAGACTGGGTTTATGTTAAGAATTTTTCAGGAGATCCTCTACAGGAGAAGTGGAGCGGACTGCACCAGATATTATTGACCACCTTTACAGCAGTGAAGATAAAGGAACAACCTGCTTGGATACATTATTCAAGAACCAGAAACACATCAGAACAGAGAAAAAATATGTCATGTTGAGTCTTCAGGACCCACACATATGAGACTACATCGATCATAATTTGGACTTGTATAATAATAGGCATATAAGCATGGAATCAAAATCTGTATCTGAGATTGATACAAAATGTTACTTATGTCTTAAACAAGAGTGATTGTTGGATCTGTACTCAGCTACTTAAATCAGGAGAGAGACTGGGTATTCCTTTAATTGGCCTCCCTATCACCTTTAAGACAAATTGGAATAGACTGTTCGTACATAGATCAAAGCGGAAGAATTACTACTGATCTAAAGGAAATATGGAAACAAGTTAAAATATTTCATGAGGTGGAGCAGGACAACACCTCATGGGGATTTGAGGAAATTTGGGAAAAATTAACATCATGAGTACCCAATCTCTCCTGGTTGAGACAGTTGGTTTTTTTACCATATTTGTAATAATTGGAATGGTTGTAATTACATGCATAACGGTCCAATGCTCCTTTTGGTGTTGCAAACAAACTATGATGAACTATGACGAATGGAAGAGAAACAAAAAAAGCATTAAATAGAAACAGGGAAATACTTCAGGAAACTTTAAATAAAAATGAAATAATTCAGTTGCAAAAGAATTTGCAATAGGACAAGAAAAAGGGAGGATTGAAGAGGGGGGTTGATTGAAGAATAGGGTTGTCAATAAGTAACCTCTAGATGTTAGGCTTTGTTAGCAACTATAGAGAAAACAAAATTACTAAGATAAGCTTTGCCAGAACCACCTGGTGGTTACTGATAAGAAATAACCACCAGCGGTCTGAAAGCCCACTACCACATTTCTGTATGCATACAGGAGGCATTGTCTAAGAAGTATGATGCAATGTATGTAATCTAATGAATATGCGTGTTTAAGGACAATATAATCACGGCCTGGTTGATGCCTGGGAGAGACACGCTTGGAGGAGCCACAGTAAAGAATACCTGCTTGTCAACTTAAAACTTTGTTGGTGAATTCCTGGAGTTTTCTCCGAATCATGTGAAATGAAGAAACAAAGTGGGAAAACTCTACTTTCCCTATAGGTATTCTTTAAAAAGCTGGTCTCCACCCTTCCACCCATATTACAATGGTATGTCTCCCCTCAGAATTAATAACATAAGTTTAAGGGTGAATCCAAAAGCAACAAAATTTCTGAAAACATAAATTTATAATAAGGGACACTCCACAAGACACTCCATAGGTTTGGTCTGAGAATGCATTCCTGAGAAATTGCATGGCCTATGTAAACTGAGCACACCTGCTTGCAGTGCATGTTTTATGGTTGCAAATAAATAAATGCATTTTACAACAATGAAAAAGCAACTCTCTAGCAAGACTAATTTTAATATTTAATGGCAGCATTACAGAATTTGGAACAAAACATAGCAAAAGCCTAATTAAGTTTCTAAATGTGTTACTTCAAACAGAACACCAAGGAACTTGATATTTGTAGCAAATGGAGAAGTGACTGAAGAATGAGCTAAAAAAGGAGTGATAGGCAAACCAAGAAAAGCAAATACATTAAAGCTGATGAACAGCATCTAGAAATTAGATGTACTGGAAAAAATTATCTCTGAGAAATCTGAAACATCATGTCATCTCTGTAAAGCATGCCATATCTCTTCCAATATTCAGCAGAGAAACTACATTCCTAAACATATACATTACCATTTACTATATATGGTTTCAAGTTTGTTCTTGTCTCACAAAACAATATATTTTTGTTGAAAAATTATAACTGCACAGCGGAGCCTGCATTATTCTAGCTAGTACACAGTAAAACTTTGAACTTAAGCCAAAACTGTTAAAACATCTAGCACATCAAGTAAAGAAACCATTTTAGCTTACTCACAGCATTATATTCCTACTTACAAGTATGCAAGCATTCTGTTACAGTAGTGGCATCAATCAGGTATCCATTGCATAAATGACAGGTTATATGGACATTAATGTCCCAAAGCTTAATCTTTCTAGTCATCATCTTTGGTATCTGTAAAAAAAAATAAAAAAACCCAAAAAAATTAAAAAAAAATCACCCACACATTACATAGCAACTCAGATTTACTGATGAGATAAAAGTTGTTTCGGAATAAATGAGCAATTATAATTCACCTTAACGATATGCTCATGTAGATAGTTTCAGGTTCTTGTATATTTATGTATATATTTTGAGTACTAAACTTTTAAAAGTTTATAAAAATAAATGATGAAATAATTAAAATCTACACTAACTTACACGTCAAGGTTTCAGAGTAGAAGAGTGCTATGTAGCATAATTAAAGCCATTTTTGTCAGAGAAACAAAGGATAGAAAAGATAATACACACATCTAGACAAATATTCATTTAATGAATGGAGAATAAAAACCAGATATTTTTTGGTAAAGAAAAAATATATATCTAACAGAATTCTCTGATTATACCTAAGGAGCAAATAAACCTGGTGATAGTTTAACAGAACTTGCAAGAAGAACACCAGAAAACTCAGTAGTTGTTTAAATAACTATCTTGAATTAAGCTGTAACAGTTATTTTTCTCCTTCTTAGCAGCTAGTGCAGGGCTGTGTTTTCAGTTTTAGTCTGAGAACAACACTGATAACACACCAATGTTTTAGTCGTTGCTAGGTAATCCTTACTCCAATTAAGGACTTTTCAGTCTCATGCTCTGCCAGTGAGGAAGGGCACAAGAAGCCAGTAGGAAGCAGAGACAGGACACCTGACCCAAACTAGCCAAAGGGGTATTCCATACCACATCACATCATGCCCAGTACAGAAACTGGGGGAGTTACCCAGAAGGCCCAAATCACTGCTCGGGTCAGGATGGGTATTGGTCAGCAGGTGGTGAGCAATTGTATTGTGCATCATTCACATTTACTGTTTTATTTTTCCCCTTCCCTTTTTAGTTTTATATTCTCTCCCCTTGTTATTTCCCTTATCATTATTAATAGTGGTAGCAGTAGCAGTTTTGTATTATACTTTAGCTATTGGTCTGTTCTTATCTCAACCTGTGGGATTTACATTCTTCCGATTCTCTTCCCCATCCCTCTGGGAGCAGAGGGGAAGAATGGGGGAAGTAAGCAAGCAGATGCATGGTTCTGAATTACCAGCTGGGCTTAAAACACGACAAGAACACACTGGTATCTATTAGCAGGAAGTAGAAGTACAGAGACAACTTTTTCCAGGGCATTAGTCACTTCTACTTCAAAATATGATGCAAGCCACAATAAGAGGTTTCTCTAGAAGGTGCAATCCATACTGCCAACATGTAGCTGTTAAAATAAGAGGACAAATTTACTACACATGCAGAGGTCCTGACATACAAGTTCTACCACAAGATAAATTTCTGACAGGCAATTAAATTTTAAGGTTCATAAGTTCTCAGCATCAGGTTTCAGTTTAGCCTGCATCCTGTGGGCTTGAGCTATACACAACTAGAGCTCCACATCATCCTCTGCTTACAGAAGGGTCAAGGAATGAGCTAACCTTGTAAGGAGAACTTTAAACTAGGAAAGATGGGGGAAGGGGTCAGTTATTGAGACCACACACACAGCAAAACAAGGCTTGAGATGGCATACCTCCAGCAAGTGCATTCAGCCAAGGAGGTGCCTACAGGACATTACTATGGGGTATCCTTTTTCACCCCTCCAGGGAAACTGACATGCTCGAATATAGCAATGCATGTAGTATAGGAAACAAGCGGGAAGAACTAGAGATCTATGTGCAGTCACAGGGATTTGATCTCAATGCAATTACAGAGACACAGTGGGATAGCTCATGACTGGAATGTTGACACGCTTTTTAGGAAAACCAGACCAGGAAGACAAGGTGGTGAATTTGCCCTTTATGTGCACAGACACCTGGAATGGTTGGAGCTGTGTCTCGGGGTGGATGATGAGTTGAGAGTTTATGGGTCAGGATTAAAGGGCAGACCAGCAAGGGTGATACTGTTGTGAGTGTTTACTACAGATCACCTGATCAGGAGGATGAAGTAGATGAGTCCTTTAACATACAGGAAGTTCCTGGAAAGTACTGATGGTAACATTCTGATACAGGTGATGGAGGAAACAATGTGGAAAGATGTGCCGCTGGACCTTACACTAACAAACAAGGAAGGAATGGTTGGTGATGTGAAAGTTGGGTGCAGCCTGGGCTCCAATGACCATGAGATCATGGAGTTCAATATCATGCAAGGATGAAACGGGGCAATAAGAAAGACTGAAATCCTCAACTTCATGAAAGCTAACGTTAGCCTCTTCAGGGACCTTCTGGGAAGAATCCCATGGGAATGGGCCCTAGAGAAAAGAGGCGTCTAAGAGAGCTGGTTTGTATTCAAGAATCGCTTCCTCCAGGCTCATTCCCCATGGACAGGAAAATGAGCAAAGGGGGTAGGAGACTTGCGTGAATGAACAAGGAAGTTCTGTCAAAACTCAAAGACAAGCAGGAGACATACAGGAGGTGGAAGCAGGGACAAGCTGCTTGAGATGAACATAGGGATGCTGCCAGAGTACGAAGAAATGTGACAAGGAGAGCCAAGGCCCATTTGAAATTGTATCTGGCTAAGGAAGTCAAGGACAGAAAGGGTTTCTTCAAATACATCATTAATAAGAGGAAAGATAAGGAAAATGTGGGCCTGCTAATGAATGGAGAATGGACCTTGGTGACAGAGGATACAAAGAAGGCAGAGATACTGAATGACTTCTTTGCTTCAGTCTTCAGTGCCAAGGCCAGCCCTCAGAAATCCCTGACTCAGGAGACCAGGGAGCAGGTCTGGAGAAAGGAAGTCTTTCCCTTGCTTGAGGAGGACTGGGTTAAAGATCAGACAAACTTGACATCCACAAGTCCATGGGCCCCAATGGGATGAACCCATGAGTGCTGAGGGAGCTGGCAGATATCATTGCTAGTAATGTGCTCTAGGTGATCCTGCTTGAGTAGGGAGGTTGGACTAGATGACCCCTGGTTGTCCTTTCCAACCTCAACCATTCTGTGACTCTGTGATCACGGTCAAAACAGATTCAACTTGGGGAAAATAAATTAGTTTATTGACAATAACAGCGTAGGATAGTGAAAAATAAGAACAAAACTAAAACCACCTTTCTCCCATTCCCACCTTTTTCCAGTTCTATCTCCTCCCATCTGTCCTGAGCAGTGCGGGGGGATGGAGAAAGGGGGGTGCTGTCAGTTCATAAGGTTTCATCTCTGCCTCTCCTTCCTATTCACACTTTTCTTCTGCTCCAGTGTGGGTCCCCCATGTACCACAGTTCCTGCCAGAAGCCTGCTCCACCGTGGGGTCCTCCACAGGCTGCAGGCTGGATATCTGCTCCAACATGGTCCCCCGTGGCCTGCAGGGGGACAACGTGCTTCACCATGGTCTTCTCCACAGGCTGCAGTGGAATTTCTGCTCCTGCACCTGGAACACTTCCTCTCCCTCCTTCTTCACTGACCTTGGTGTCTGAAGGGTTATTTCTCTCACATTTTCCTCACTCCTCTCCCTCACAGCTGCTGTGTAGCATTTTTTGCCCTTACTTAGATATGTTACCACAGAGGGGCCACCAACTTTGCTGACTGGCTCAGGTTTAGCCAGTGATGGGTCTGTTTTGGAGATGTCTGAAGCAGTCTCTGTCCAACATGGGGGCAGTTCCTGATCTCTTCTCACAGAGGCCACCCCTGTAGCCCCCCTGCTACCAAAATCTTGACATGTAAACCCATTACAACTCCTGAGATACATAAAGAAGAAATTAGTGGAATCAAATTACCACCTTAAATGAGAAATTAAAATTAAGAAGAGAAAACAATAAATCATTAGGAAACATGTATTTAGGGATTTCTCAAATCTGTTCTGTATCACATAAGAGGAAAGCACATATTACAAACTGAATTATATCATCTCCCATTAACAAATCCTGACTAGCTGTACTAAGATAGAGTTTAACTATCTTCATAGCAGCCTGCATGGTGCTGCCCTTCGTATTCATAGCTAAAAGTGTTGATAACAGCTGACCCCAACTGAACAAAGGGATATTCCATACCATATGACATCATACTCAGCACTAAATGATCAGAGAAATGAGGAGGAATTGGGGGTATTTGTGGTTATGGCATTTGTCTTCCCAAGCAACTATTATGTGTGCTGAGGCCCTTCTTCCCAGGAAGTGGCTAAACATCTGCCTGCTGATGGGAAATAATGAATTAATACCTCTTTTTGCTTTGCTTGCACACACAGCTTTCTTTCCTTATTAAACTGTAATTATCTTGATCCCTTGTCCTGTGGGAGAGGGGAGTGAGCAAGAGGCTGGGCTGGTGTTGACCAGGGTCAACCCACCACACTAATGTATTTATGAAAGCTAAACACTGATGATTCAAGATACAAAGCTACAGTACTTAAGATGAAGCTACCCATGTGAATAGATGTTTAACACAAGATTTCTTGCACATTCCTGTATGGCATCTGTTAACATCTATCACCTCAGATGGAGTACTGGGTTAGTTGAACCACAGGACTGTTCTGGTGAGAAAGTACTAGCACTCCATGACCTACCACCCAACAAATGTTCAAGTCATTTACATCATATAAAATAAACCAGGTTTTATAAAAGCACCACAAATGTATTTTTCCTGTAACCATATAACTCAAGAAAAGTCCATTCCAACAAGTAGGAAAGCCAGGAAAGGTGACAGGAGGCCTGGATGGATGAGTAAGGAGCTCCTGACTGAACTCAGACATACAAAGGAAGCGTAGAAGTGGTAGAAACAGGGGCAGGGTACTCACGACAAGTACAGAGATTGTAAGGCACAAGAAAACTTTGTTAGAGTAACCTAGGATAGTGTCTCCCCCATCCGAGTACGTAGAGTCCCAAGCACATTTTCTCTTGTTGTTACGGTAACCTGGGTTAGTTTGCTTCCCCCTCATCTGCACATACCCACCCATGAAGGCCAGCTGTGCATCTCAGAATTCAGACAACAGCACCGGCATTACATCAGTAAGATTGCTAATGAGCAAAATAGGACATCGCATATACAATATGC